GTTTGTCTGTTGATGGGAGTCCTGTGTTTGAGTCTTGCAAAACATAGATCATGTGGTGTATGCTTACTGTGGGACTTAATCATTTATTATATATACAAGCACTGGTACATAAATTGAAAATTTTGCTGAAATCATTATTTAACTAACCAAAAGAATCAAAATAAAATTACTGTTGAAACTGGCTATTGAACCATTAAATTCAATACTTTTCAGAGATGATGTATTTCTAAATAAGTGAGTCTAGTAAGCAGAAAAGAGAAATAGTATCTTGTGTCAGTGATAAAACATATATCTACTGACAAATTCAAGTAAGTGCTTAGTTCTGTAGTACTTAAGTGAAATGCCAAAAATTCTTTTCATCGGGTGATTGACATTTAGCTTTCACCAGTCAATAGTTCAAGGTAAAAAAAAAATCAAAACTTAAAAGCAGTCTGCAAATTTCAGATTCTGATTGGTTAATACTGTATGTCTTTAGATGTTGCAAATATTATACCAATAAATGTTTAATGTTACTTTTTATTTGCATTATGTGATAGTCCTTGTAATTTCATTGTTTTTTGTTGTTTTTTTGTTTTCTTTTATGTCTCTTTTTTTATATATCTATTATATTTCTTTTACAGGTATGTACATTGGTGTATATGTATATCTTATTTTTGTATTCTTTTTCTTGTAACTTTTGTAGTTTTTAACTTATCTTAAATTTTTATTTTCTTAATTTCATATTCTAAGATGTGCTTACGCTTATTTTTATACATGTCTGTCTTTAACTAATATATAACTCTTTTACAGGAATGTACATTATTTATATATATCTGTTATTTGTTTTATCTTGCTTGTAATTATTGTAACTTTTAAGCATGCATGGTGCTATAATAACTTAAATCCATGTATTTAGATGTGCTTATGCTTATAATTTTTAGTTGCTTTAATATCTTACTTCCATGTACTTAATTGTGCTTATGCTTATATTGTCAATTTTAGCTGCTTTACTTTTGTTTAGTTCATATACTATTGTTTGTCGGAAAATAGCTCATGAGCTAAATTGTTTTCTGTTTATATGTATCCGACGAAAAATAAATTTTCTTGTATCTTGTATGTATTTTCAGATTTGAAAAATAGGAGCACTGCACCCATAGAATGGTTTTAATAATCTCATACTCAAAGTATAATTAAACTTTCATTTGATTTTCAATAATTTGAAATAATCTCTGACCCAAAGTTTTATGCTTGCTATGTATTCTATTGTATTGATCAATGTTAACATGTTGCCCAGCTCTTACCTGTAATGAACATACAATGTAGATGATTATCTATACATGTAGATAATGTACACCAGACACTTGATGTGATACATTGTTATCATGCCTCATTACTGTACATGATGTTGTTTGTTTATCTACTCCTCACCAACTGTTAGTCTTTCATTATGATCATGTTTCAACTTTTATCAGATGAATCAGTCCCAGACCTGCATGTGAGGATGTGTGACCCACTCCCTGTGATAAATCTATGTCTGCCCTATGACCTTTACATTAATACACAGGTAAAGCCTTTTGCTTCATTGAAGCTTTTTCATTTTTCACTTTATCATGTTTAAATGTTGAATTTTGCTTAGGCCAGTGCTAGGCAGCATGAAAAGTAGCTTGCATTTACAGGTTTGATCACACAACACCAAGCCTGCAATATTTTCAATTTTGCCATTTTAGGCATTCTTTAAGGATTCCTTTTTTCTCTGTCCTCTGTCAATGTTTACTTCCTCAAATAGGAATAAAAATGTAATATTTTTTTTAGTTTTATAACATAATACAACTCTCTCTTTTTGTAACTGAAAAAGAAATATCAGGCATACAAACACGCAGATGTGCTTCATACTTTTATTAAGGATTTTACAACTTCCTCACATTCAATTATATCCTCATTTTTTTCCAGTTTGATGACTCCTCTGTGATATTTAGTAACTTTACAAGATATAGCTTCAGGTAAGATTCAAATTTTATTGAATACTAATATTTACCTTGAGTAAAGCCATAGTCAAACCATAGTTTAAACATGTCTGTGACAGGTGTGCAACTTAAAATTTTGACAGTGTTTTGCACAATAAGCAGCATTATGTCTTGTGTTCATGCAGGGAAAAGAGCAAAATTTCTGGGTTTTTAACATGTCAAAAAACCTAAAGATTGATCTGATAAATCTTTCAATGCATGTTTGTCCTGCCTTATCCTACACAGTGTTAATGTCATTTTAATATCATAAATCCAACATCAACACCAGGCGTATGCACATCAACTTTTTCTATCTAATTACATCAGTACTTTTCAGTATGTCATTTGTATGACTCTAAAGTGTTACACCTCGAGCCTTAAGCTTCGAGTTTTTTTAAGGACTATATAATTATACAGTATGATCCTCAGTAAACTCATTTCATCTTCTAACTTCTTTACCTAGAGGAAATGTGATCCTTTAAAGTTAAATGACTTAAAACAACTTAATTACATTTGTGTCTCTCTCAAACATTGTTTAAAGGTGGTAATGAGTAAATGTCTTGTGGTAATGAGTAAATGTCTTGCTGTAAAAACCAATTGACATAATGGCTTTTTAATGAATTACCACAAACTGTGTACAAAAATAAATTTTTGGCAACCTTGGGGAATTCTTTTTTTAAATTTTAAAAAAACCTTTTAAATTTTTTTTGTTTAAACTTATTTATTAAGAAAATGATTTTAAGTACACTGTTTTCCAAACTTATAATTTCAGGTAAACCCCTGTGTTTTTCTATTGAAAGGGCTGACCCATTTCCCAAAACCCTAAAATTTCCCAAAGTTTAAAAGTCAAACAAATAAATTAGTTTCTTGTTAATTTTTTACCTCATCCCCAAAATCCCCTTTAATTTCTGTTTTAAATAATAACAATTTTTTTAAACAACATTGGATTTAAAAACTTGTCTTTTTGAAATCATTTTTATGATTGTCTTTTCCAATTATAATACGAAACTTTAAATAAAATAGTTTTTTTAACCCAAAGAAGACAATCTGTGTTATGGTATATTTTGTATTTTGATATAATGATTTGTCTTTAAATTTTATAGAACTTTTTCCTGGGGGAATGTCGGTGGGTATTCCTGACATTTTCTGTAAAATTTTATGGGAATTTTGGGGATTGTTTTGTAGATATAATTTTTTTAAAGAAAAATAACATTTCTTTTTGTTTTTAAGATTTTTGTCTTTTGATAAAAACTTTTTTCTTTAGATATAAACTTGTCTGTAGAATGACTTGAAGTATATGTATGTTGATATTAGAGCTGTCATCAATAGAGACCATATTAATGTATCGTTGATATTTTCTGTCAATCAATTATCAATATACATTTGAAAAAATTGATAATTTTGATGTCTATAAATTATGAAAATTTACATAAAACATATACAGAAGCAGGTTTGCGTGTCTAACACTATGCTGTTGTTACATTATGGACACATTTCATAGCAGTGATGGCAAAAATATGGTCAGGAAAAAAAATTATGCAATGGGCATTAAATTTTACACAAAAGAAACTGAACAGAACATGTTTACAAAAATAATTTAAACAGGTATGAAAGTAAAGGACAGACAAGTAATTAGAGGTAATTATTGATATATTCGTGTATCGTTCATATTTGTCATCTGATATTGATATATCGTTGATATGCTTTGCATAAATTTAAATTTAGCTTTTAGAAGTGAAAGGGGATTTTGCTTAAAATAAAATTTTTGTTGAAAATAACTCCAGGGAGTTTTTCTGTAAAAAAAGGATTGGGTTTTTAATTTGGAAAACCCTTGTCCGTAAAATAAAAGCCCCGGGAGTTGTCTTTTAAATAAAAGATTTTGGTCTGTGGGTATAGATTGGGTCTGCAAATTTTGGGGATTGTCCTGAAAGGATATATTGGACTTTTCCCTTAAAGGGGATAGGCCCGGGGATTGTCTGTGATTTTGGGAATTGCCCGTAAATTAAGAATTGTCTGTAGATATAACACAAAATTTTTCCCTGAAATTTTTAAAAAGACTTGACTTTAGGTTATAGTTGTCTTTTAAGAAAATTGGGACAAGGGAGATGTCGTAGTTTATGGGACTTGTTTTTTAAAAATAGGACTTTTGTAAAATTACAGGACACGGAAGTTGTCGTAATATTAGACTTGTCTTAAATATGGGAACAGGGGAAAAGTTGTCTTAAGTTTTAAGCCCTTGTCTTTAGAAAAATTAGAAAAACAGGATTTGTTCTTAGATATGGGATTGTCTTAGAGATAGGTTTGGATTTCGTAATATAGATTTTTGTCTTTTAGTTTATGGGGAACCCCCAGGGTGTCTTTTAATACAAGACTTGTTTCGTAGTATAGGCAGGGAGTTGTCCTGTAGGATATTAAATAGACCTTTCGGTAATAGGCCCGTGAGTTGTGTAGATATAGGACTTGTCCCTGTAAATATAGGACACGGGATTGTCTTTAGATATAAAGACTTGTCTTAAAGTATAACCCGGGACTGTCTGGTAGATAATAGCACTTTGCTTCTGTAATAATGGGACTTTGGGACTTTGTCTATATAGATACATTATAGGACTTGTTTTTAGCTTAATATCTTGCACTTGCTCTGTGAAATGTGAACTTGTCTGTGAGATATACCAGATACTCAGACAGAGATTTTACTGAATTAACTGTCTTACATATCTTGATATAAACAACACTTCAAGACTCTGTAGTATTATAGAAAAATATTAATTACCTTAATAACTAAATTTATCTCACATCTAAATCTTATTTGTAACTTATTGCATAATTCACATTATTGTAAAATTGATTCTTCTTTTACCGAGTATTAATTTTCTAATTAAATGTAAGTTAATTGTGCCTACTAAAGGTGGTCTTGTAGAGCCACTAAGATAACGGGAAGAGATATATTGGTGGAGTGAGCCGTGCTTGCAGGTGATTTCATGGAATATTAACCATGTAAATATCTCCCTGCTATCATAGAGAGAGAGTCTATCGTCATTCTCTGATGAACTGTCAGTCAGCTCAGTACGTAGAGAGGGGAAAAAATATACAGTCAGTTTATCAATAAAACTATCTCTTTTCTATATTTTAATTATCGTGTTGTTTTGTAATTTGATTTTAATATTCGATATAAAATCTGGATATTTTTAGAATTAGAATTACAAATTTTATAGCATTTGAAAGAAAGCTTTATTTTGTTGGTTTTTTTTGCTTTTATGATTATCAACAATCCAGGCATTGCGATTTACTGGATGAAGATGTGAAATGCTTTTTGGAATAATTCAAGTTTGAAAATATTTTCATGGGACAAAGGCAGATATTATTTTGGTTTGGAATCAAAAATCCAGAAAAATATTGCCAGAGAAACTTATTATTGTAAATTGAAAAGAAAATCATTCTTGAGAAGTTAAAACATGGAATAATTGTTGAATTGGTAAGTTTATCTGATAATTAAGATAATATTATGTGATAATTTTCTCTTTAAAATTTATTTATATTAGAAATGTAGTTAAGATAACATTTATTGCAAAAGGCTTGTAATATAAGTTGTTTATTGGATAAAAAAAAACCCAACAAGATTGAGTTGTAATGATAGAATTTATTCTTCAAAAATTGACAAATTCATACTTATAAAGAACAGAAGTTTATAGAAAAAAAATGTTTTAGTACTCATTGATGACTGATTAAAAAAACATTGTTTAAAAAAGTTATTTCAATTTAGTTAAGCTTTAATTGACATGAATTAACTTAATTTATAATTAGTTAAAAATTTAATCAGTTTCTAAAATGTATACCTAAAAAATCTGTTAATGGGTAATTAAAATGATAAGTTACATTAACAAGAATTACTGAATTGTAAAATAATACACAGGTTTGATTTTATTATACATCAATAATATAATAGAGATAGATTATGGGGAAAAAATGAACATAAGGGGAAAAATATGTTCTAAGGATAAAACACATGTACAAATAATGAAAAAAAATTTGTTTAATAAGTTTCTTATTTTTTTATTTAAAAAAAAGATTGAAAAAATTTAAGGTAAACTTTTTTTTTACATTAAATCACTTAAAGATAAAATGTATGATCTGGAGCCATATTGATAATTGGTGTAATAACTAGAAATATGATTTATGATCAAATGATAAAATCAGCTACACAAGGTTATCTTTATTCTGATTGAATTTGGCTGCAACTGTAACTTCCAATTACCTATTCTCACTTTATTTATAATGTTACATAAATAAATGATAAAAAATATCCGACTGCCAGATTATCCCCCGGAATTGTCTTCATTTCCGAAACAGAAGTAATCAAAGCACAGAAGGCGCTGAATTTGTTTGGGTCTCAGAATGTAAGAAAGGTACAGGTTGTGAGATTATATGTATAGTGCCACCAATGCTTTCCAGCGTTTTAATTGTAGTAAATTGGCTATAAGAGCTAATTGCAACACTGATATTCAATCCAATGTTTATTTGACTTAAAACAATTTGAAAAAAAAAAAAATGAGTTGCCTTTACTGGGATTTGAACTCCAGACCTCTCGCTTCCTAAGCGAGCGCGGAAAACCCTTCAGCCACGGGTGAATTATATGTGAACGGCCTGAAGAAAACCATATTATTCTAAATTTGGGCTTGTAACGACTTTAACTGTTTGTTTAACACAGATGTAAATACTCCTGGAGCTTACTATAAGCATGTATATTTTAAAAGAATCAAAGGGCTGCAAGTTCTGTGGTATTTTCTGATCTTTGCAATCTTAATCGTACTGTATATCTGTATGTATTTTCCTGTATAAATTTAATTTTATGTATTTATAATTCATTTTGCAAGGCACCAGAGTTTTGATACATAAGGAATTCTGCTTAACTAGAGTTGCACCAAATATCATTTTATGTTCATTTTTTTACGACAGCTACACTTTATCCTTGCATATCATGGCTACTTCCTTACAAAGACACTTAAAATGAATTTAAAAAAAGTTTCCTCGACTGGGATTTGAACTCCAGACCTCTCACTCACTAAGCGAGCGCGTTACCCCTGCACCACGGAGAAGCTATACAAACAATGTCTGAATAACATCAAGTCATTCTAAATTTAGAACTTCCATTGCATTTCGGGTTTGTAATCCTTTAATTTTGAGGTATTTTGTTCAGGATAAACCTGAAGTAAATAATTTAGCGAAAATCTCTTCTCGCCCAAACAGTCCGACATGTAGAATCTATATATATCCACTACTCGGTTTGTGTAGTATTCGGTTAATCCGACAGCGCTAAAATAGTATTTTCATTGATAAAATCATTATTCATCTGCGTAATTTTGTGATTGTGCATTTATTGACAATTCTATAAGCCCAACGCTATTTTCAAACTTTGAATGCGTTGTAATTTGTTGGATACTTGTAACAAAATAAAAATATCTCTTTCTTTTAAATCGCTAGTTTTTAAGCTTGTTCTGAGAACTACTTCTTGTTAGGTTTGTCGTAAACTTCTGTGTCAGAGATTGAGTGTCCGCTTTGTATTTACTTATTTTCGATCAGAAAATACAATAAAACAATATTAGAAATCTTCGACCATTCGAGAATTATTTTGCTTGAAAATTAATGTGCCTGATTTTGACCATCTTACGCAGTGATCTCCCCTGAATTTTCGGCGTTAGTGTACATATAAAGGGAAGTCACCGCTTCCAAAAGTGGACTACTTTCGGCATTTGCAATTAACAGCATTAGACTCTGAAATTTCGCTACCATTATTTGTTTGGTCTGACGACCCAAACAAATAAAAATGTATTTTGACTGCGGATAAAAATATTTGCGAATACCTGTTTTGTGTCTGTGGTATTTTCATGAATGGATTGGATTTTAAAAAAAAATCAAGTTGATAGAAATTGGAAATAGCCGACATTCTGCATTTAATTTGCTCGGAATTTCGAAGTTTTTGGTGCAATCGAGGGTTGAAGTGTTCTTGAAGTGGGCTGGATTATATCATTGGGGTAATGTGAGGTTATTTTTCATTTTGTGTAAAACAAAAAATGCTGCCTAATGTCTCATAAAGAAAGTTTGTCAAAGAAAAGCTTGTTCTCTCTAATTAAGTGTTAGCAGAAGTGTTTAAGAATGTGTGTTTTGAATTTTATTTCAGAAGTGAAAATGGTCTCCTAAGAAATGCATTAAGCTGATGGCACTAAGTTTAGATTTGTATCTTTTATTTCCTCACAGTATGAAAGTTTTATGGCATTTATTTTTTTTAAAGACATTAGTTCTCATATTGAAAGGGGTTGAAGTGGGTGATATTTTATCTTGTTTTATTTATTTGAAAATAATGAGTTTTAAAAACAACATGCTATGTACAAATTATTTCAATTATATTTATGTTAACCCATTACTTGCTGGAACTGAGAGAAGAAAATCTGTGCCAGGAGGCAAGAAATGGCTGCACTTTCAAAGCTCTAACCAAGTTCAAATTTTTATATTAATATCCCTAAAATTGACAATGGACTGTTCCGAAAATGGAAGCTGGGTAAGTCCATTTTAGAAAATCAGTGGGTTGGATTAAAAAAAGAAGTTGACAGAAATTTGAAATAGCCTGCATTCTGTATTTTATTTGCTCAAAATTTTGAGTTTTAGAAGGAAAATGAGAGATAAGTAAATATATATTGATAGAACATGAAGAAAAGGCAAAAAATATAAGATGTTGTTTTATATCTTTTCTGGCGATTTACTTTTATCTGTTACTTAGTTTTATATATAATTAATCAAGAATTCCTATTAAGAATGTTTAATTATAAATGATCTGATTATAGAGATAAGTCAGGCTTGAAGACTATTAAGCCTCATATTAAATAGGAAAAGTTTTCAACAGGATTTTTTTCTATAATGGAAATTAGGTTTTGAGAATCTGTATGCCTGTAAATGAGGAAAACAAATTTTTCCACAACAAATGAAAATTTGAGTATAAAAAAACAAAACAACATATTACTTGTTTAAAAATTCCTACTATTCACAAAGAGTAAGTGAGACTTTGCAAAATTATTTTTATGTAAAATATGAGACAATTTAACTAGTTCTATCAAGAATTAAAACATTTTTACCCAGTTATTAATAGAATATTTTGACTAATTGTTTTTTAGAGGCAATTTCTATGGTTATGAAGAGTGTAAAAAAAGAAAACTGGTAAAAACTGCATAATATGTATACTTAAATTTTCGGTATTTTTACTAAAGTTAGAATACTTTTTTAATTTCTTTTTTAATAAAAACTACCAAAAAAACAGGAAGTGTGCTGCTTTAAGAGATGATTTGCACCTATTTTATACACTTAATGTAACAACATTTTTACCACCCCAAATTCTAAATCCCTTTTCTTCTAAAATTAAATTTTTTGAGAACAGAAAAAATTTAAAAATTTGTTCTTTGGATTGAAACAATAAAAATTTTGGGTGTTTTAAAATTATTTTTTAAAAAAATTTGGGAATAACTCGGGGGGGCGCCAGGGTAAACCCTAGCAAAAATTAAAGGGTCACGAAAGGGCTTTTGTTTTTGTTTGGCAAAAAGCAGCTTTATAACTTTTTTTAAAAAGGTCCTTTGAAATATTTACAGAAATTTTTTACTTTTCAAAACCCAGACTTTACAGAAAATTTTATAATGATATCAGATATTAGTTTAAAATTAAGTTATATTTTTGTGAATGGAATTTGAATTTTACAGACTTAATAATGTGGATATGAAAGTAATATTTTATAAAAATTATTTATTAAAAAAATTAAATAGATTTAAATTTTATAAAAAAATAAAATTTTTTTGAAAATTTTATTTGCCCAAATAAACTTGGAATTTATAATGTATATTAAAAATGTTTTTTTAATATCATTGTTTCTTTTAAATCAAAATTTTATATCCTTTTAAATTTGTCCAGAAAAGCTGAAGTATGCTTTTTTGGGTAACATGGGTAGGGGCGGGTAGCATAAGCATAGATAGCATAGTACATAGAGTACAAAGGTAAGCATAGAGTACACAAGGTAGCATGGAGTACTCAAGGTAGCATATGGTATGCTGGGAAGCATAGAGTATACTAGGTAGCATAGAGTACACTAGGTAGCATAGAGAAAGATAGATAGCATAGAGTATGTTAGGTAGCATAAAGTATGCTAGGTAACATACAGTATGCTAGGTAGCATAAAGTATGCTAGGTAGTATTGAGTTTGCTAGGTAGCATAGAGTAAAATAGGTAGCATAGAGTATGCTAGGTAGCATAGAGAACACAAGATAACATATGGTATACTAGGTAGCGTAGATTAAAATAGGTAGCATAGAGTATGCTAGGTAGTATAGAGTATGCTGGGTAGCATAGAGAACACAAGATAGCATATGGTATACTAGGTAGCATAGAGTACACAATGTAGCATAGAGTATGCTAGGTAGCATAGAGTAGGCTAAGTAG